CGCTCCAGCTCCAGACATCGCTCTGTCCTCGAACGTGGTCTGGTCCGACGTGGTGAAATCTGGCGCGAGCTTGGAAGCAGCCAAGATCGGGGAATTCTTGATCACAAATGCTACAGACCAGAGACTCTGGGGGAATAACTTCATGTGCCCATCTGGACTTGTCTCGATGGCAAATCCCGTGCGAGCAAGATCGTACACAGTGGTCCAATGCAATTCGCCTTGGTGAGAAACAGGAGAGGCACCGCGGACACTGGTTAGCGATGACAATTTTTGAGAATACTTCTCTTTGGTTGTGTGCTTCCCGAAGGTGCCCTTTTAGAGCTTTCATGCTAGCAAACCTCTTTCCACATATGCATCCTCCATCCTCCTGATAGTCGCACCAAAAAGGTTTCTCGAGCTCCTCCAGGGTAACCTCCTCGTTGATCTCCTCCTCCTCTTCTTGCTTAGGTCCTATGCTTACTGTGTTTTTCTTACCTCCTAGAACATGGGGGTCAGCAAGTGGCCATCTATCGTGTGCTTCTGTGCCAGGTATGAAGATGTCTAGATCGCTGTTCCTGCTCATGTACCACGCGTGCATGCTCTCGTCGACTTCGGCCAGCCTGTCCATGTCTTCTCGAAACTGGACTGCCCAGGGCGTCGACTTCTCACTGCTCTCCTGCGGCCACGCGAACTTTGCTGGGGTAAGCCTAGGTTTTTTTTGCAACCCGTCTAGTCGCGAATCTCCAAAGACAGCTGAGAGCACGCCACAGTGTTCAACCGGTTTTTTTGCCCAGGGCTGGTACATGCGCAGTCTTCTAATTCTTAGTGTAGTAGCCGAGTCGTTGAACTGCCAGTACTTAAAGACCTCCTTCGTGCTGCTACATCTTGCTTCGCCATCTTCATTTTTCCAGCTTAGCTTACCTTCTGCTAGGCTACGCAATAACTTAGCTAACGTAGAATCAATAATGTCGGTGTGGGTCTTGTTTAAGACGAACACGTTCAAGCCGCTCAGCGCTGCTCCTATAACGAAGGCCTCGAATATATATATATATATATATATATATATATATATATTGATATATATATATATATAGTTTTCTTTTTTACTGCTCTCCTCGTACGTGCCTTCCAAAACGCCCCGCGTTGACGCCATGCCATCTTCGCTGCTGAACAACGTCTAGAGATTTCACCGAGTAGTCCCTGCTCTGCTGGAATATGCGGGCCTAGGACGCGTACTTCACGACAGGCGGCCCTTTTAAACTTTTTTGGTCGTCTCAATCGTCTGGTCGCCTGGTAGCTGCCCTCCCCACGAAGATTTATCAAGTGATTAGTCTTCCCAGCATTTAGTGACCATCCACCCTTAGCTATCGTATTCTCTAAGCGTGCGGTCGACTCGTTAAGGAACGTGGTGATGTCTTCAGCACTGCTTCCTGCGGTGATTAATTGTATCTTGGTGGCGTCGTCCATGAACGTGTTTAACGATAAGTTGTAGTACTTGTCCGTCAGCGGATGTTTTGTTTCTAGGAGTTCGTGATGACCATGTTCGTGCTCTCCCTCCTCCCACTGCTCTATGTGCTCATTGTACGCATCATTAAAATCCCTGGGTGCAAGAGTAAATCCCATTTGCGAACCTGTGTGACTCTGTAGGTGTGCTAGGCCGTCTCTCGCTCTGATCGACATCGACTGGTGGACGACCGCTCCTACTGCAAAATGCTTGTCCTGCTCACATGCCTGGTTCGCGACAACCTCGGAAAGGATCCTCCTGTCGGTCGCCGCGAAAGCATTAGTACAATCGCAATTGCTCACGACGATCGACACCCCTCCCTCCTCCGCTCTCCACTTGCTTCCCAGCAGGCACAACAATGCGTTCTCTCGAGAACGCGCGGGTAGTCCTCCTTGCGCCCAACGTGGGCGCGGTCGAAAAGGAGCACGTAGATGAATGCCGTAATGCCACCCCATCCCTAAGCTGCAAAAAGTATGCATGACCCTCTTCCCTGCTATCCCTGCTTTGCCGTTCCCCTTCGATGCGTCGAAAGCCAAGGACCTGTTAGTATCTAGGGGCATTTCTTGGGTTCTTCGGATATGCACTAGTAGTTCGTCCAACTTGATCTCGAATAACTTTTTCTCTGAGAAGTTCGGACTCGCCCCTACTCCTGCCCTCGTAGTCCCGTGGCTTGTCCAGGCTGGCTCTATGATCTCGGCTGGTTCTCGAAGTGACGCTTCTCTCTGCCTCTTTCCGACCGTTTCGCCTTGGCTCCAGCCCATTCTCTCAAGTAGCATGCGGCCGACTTTGTACTTCTGCAATGTGGTGAACTTTGCTAGCTCCTCCTCGTCCTCCTCCTTCTCCGCTGCCCTGATCTTCCTCCTCTCCCATCTCTCGCTCTCTCTCTGCGGGCTGTGCATGTTAATGTTTGTGTCGAGGATAAGGAGCGAGGCCTCAACCGGTAGCCCCCAGGGGGGGTAGGCACGTCTCTTCTTCGCTTTGGCAAGGTATTTTTTCATGGCCTTTTTTTGTCTTGTTGTGCCAGATACTGTATATCCTCGTCGTCTGGGAAAAGCTCTTCTCCAACATGTGATGCTATATATGCTTCCCAGTTTTGCTGCAAGTCGAGCTTTGTACAAGACATGCCTCCTTCTTCGGCCTCTTTTTCCCATTTCCTCGTACCACGTGTGCTCGTCCCAGAAACACTGTGGTGAATCATAAAATCTTTTCTTTGGGCCCCGTCCGTTGTTTTGATACTTCACACGGAGACGGTGCATGAGTGCGAAGTTTCTGGACTCATACGCCTCCCAGATCTCCTGCACGATTGCTTCGCGCCTGCGCTCAAGTTCTGTTTTTCTGATCTTTTTAATGCAGCCGACCACTCTTGTAGCTGCTTCTTTATGGACTCGACCTCGCTCTCGTCAATCTCTGGTCTCAGACCTTCTCTGCATTCTCGTCGGAGCTGAAGTAGGCGCATTCTTTCTGCCTTTGCTGCCGCAGTAAGCTCGTCCGTCCTTACTTCAAATTCTGGAAAGACCTTCTTTAGTGCACCTCCTACAGCATCTACGAATATTTTCCAAGCATCGTCTGGCCATGTTTGTTGCAACTCTGTTTTCCACTCTTCCTCCTTCTCCTGCAGCCTCCTGTCGATCTCTTCGTACAACTCCCTCCTCTTCCATCCCTTCCGCAGGCACTTCATGAGCCCATCTCTGTCCACCTTTTCTTCCCTGACAGGCTTCAAATGATGATAGGAGGAGGAGGAGGAGGAGGAGGAGGAGGGAGGTGGAGGAGGAGGGAGGAGGAGCAGGACGAGGAGGAGAAGGAGGAGGAGGAGGAGCAGGAGGGAGGAGCCGACCGCTGACGGCCGGGCGCAGCCGACCGCCTGCGCAGCAGCTTTCCCACCGCGCCGCGGGGGGGGCCCTCGGCGAGGAGGGCCTCCTGCCGAGGCCGCCCCCTCGCTCGGGCGTCCGCCGCACGAGCAGTTGTCGGTGTCGTGCGTGCTCTTTCTTCTCTTGTCTGCTTTGCAGGATGATCCAGGAGTGCTCCTCGATGGTTCTCACCGAAGAAATCGGCGGCGAGCGAGGGGGGGAAAGGAGGAGGAGGAGGAGCCTTCTCAGAAGGCTCGGGATTCCCCGAGCCTTCTGAGAAGCATCCTGAGCCTTCCCCGAAAGCAAAGAGACAGCTCCTCAGAAGGCGCGAGGGCTTCTGAGAAGCCCCGTCGCCTTCTGAGAAGGCGTTATCCTCCTCACCTCCCCCCCTCGCTCGCCGTCGAAAAAGACGCACAGGTCCCAGCGATGCCAAGATCGCCCCTCGCTCCCCCCCCCTGCGCACCCGCGCATGGCCGGGCGGCGCAGCGCGCCCAGAGGCGATACTGAAGGGGCCCAGGAACACACACACAAACACACACACACACATAAACACACACACACACATAAACACACACATAACACACATATCCCAGCATTCCCTTTATATTTCTCCACATGTGTTTGATGCTCGCCTCTCCCCCCCACACTGCCCACGTCTTCCCATGCTTTCGGGGGAATCGACGATTCATTGTGTCCGTGTGCTTTTTGTTCCCTCCCGATGTGCTGCGCCCTCCGTCCTGGCCTCGCCCCCGCTTCGCCCGTCTCTCTCCCTCCTGCCTGCTCCTCCCGCGGCATCGGCGGCGAGCGAGGGGGGGAACTGAGAAGGATCGATCGACATGGATCCTTCGACTAAGAGATCGACTACATAATCGACTTACCGCAAGATTGATTTCCTCGCGGAAGCCATGGAGCAACAACGTTCGCAGGATGTTCGTAGAACGGACATTCTACGCTTTGTTCAAGGATTCGGCGCGACAGTATTTTTCCCGACGGCGAGCGAGGGGGGGAAGTGCGAAGGAGAAGTCCTTCGCAGAAGGCGGCGGGGCTTCTCAGAAGCCCTCGCGCCTTCTGAGGAGGGGGAAGGCTCGGAGAACTTCTCAGAAGGCCGGGGGGATTCCGAGCCCTCTGAGAAGGCCCTCTCCTTCTCACTTCCCCCCCTCACTCGCCGCCGACGGCAATTTCGCGGGTCGTTCAAACTTGAATTTGGCTGCCCCGGCACGCACCGCTCAGCGCGTGGCGTCTTGGCACGGAGCTCAGCACGCAGACTGAAAACGCAGGCTTGACGCGATACGTTTGCCCAGAACGCGGACCACAACACGTGCCGAGCCCATACGCAGCGTGTCGGCACGTACTCCGAACTTCTCATAAATCAACCGGGGGGTGACAAACGTGAAAACGCGGCGCGGCCAACCCCACCGGCATCACCCCCGCGCCCCAGCGGGGAAGGGAACGAACCCCGAACCCCCCCTTGGCACCCCCACGGACGCGCCGCGGCCAACCCCCTCGGGCACTCCAAGGGGGGGGCTCGATTAGTAAGCGATCCAGAGTACGTTTCGAACGCGGCACGTGTTACGAGTTTCGACGCGGGCGTATCGGGGCAGCTGGGAGCTTGAACCAGCGCGTCTTCCGGACGGCGCACAGTCTCGTCGATGTATCGGCCGGCTGCGGGCCACGAACGCTGTTATACGCGCCCGCGCGGAGGCCCTCGCCGCGCCACCGCTGCGGGAACCTGCCGTGTTTCCGAGGCGCTTCCACCGTGCTCCTCGCTCCTGCAGCTGCCCCTCGCTCCTGCAACTGCTCCTCATCCTCCCGCTGCGGGTCTCAAGAATATACACCACCCCCACCTCCGTTCCTCCTCCCTCCTCTGCCTCTCCTCCTTCGTGGGAGAGGGTGGGGGCGAGGGAGGTGGTGGTGGTGGTGGTGGTGGTGGTGGTGGTGGTGGTGGTGGTGGTGGTGGTGGTGGTGGTGGTGCTGGTGGTGGTGGTGGTGGTGGTGGTGGTGCTGGTGGTGGTGGTGGTGGTGTATCTTTTTAAGCCCCGTACCCTTGGTAGCTGGCAGAGGCCGCTGTTTGGCAGGCGGCCCCCCCCTGCGCGGGCCCTCCGCGCTAAGGCCCTGGCGCGGTCGCCAACGCGGCCCTTGACCTCGAGGAGCGGGCGCTGCCGCTTGGCAGCGGGGCCGTCGTCGAAGGCCCGCCCAGCTCCGCGCTGGCCGCGGCGAGGAGGCAGGGCGGGAAGCGCGGGATGCGTGCTTGTGCTCAGTCTCATCCAGCTCCCCCTCTTCCTCCGTCCTCTTTTTGTGCCACAACTGGTGCCACTACCCGTGCCGCTACCAACACCACTGCCACTGCCACTGCCGCTGCCACTAGTCACTGCCACTGCCGCCACCACCACTGCCACTACCACTGCCACAACCGTTGCCCCTGTTACTGCCATCGCCACTACAACTACCACTATCACGACCAATACACCTACCACCACCGCTACCTTTATTGGTACTACGGGCACCACGATTGCTGCGACTACTACGGCTACCAACTACGACCACGGCGCCGACTACGACGGCTCGTTGCCATTACTGTTACTCTTACTACAATAACATCTACTACTACTACGACGACTGCTACTACTATTACTACCACTAATACTATTACGAATACTGCTACGACTACGACGACTACTACTACTAATACCACTACGACCGCTACTACCACTACGACTACTACTACATCAACAACAGCAACAACAACACCAACTACAACAACAACAGCAACAACAACAACTACTAGCACGTGGGGACACTCCGTTCTCACCAGTGCCAGGGTTTTCATAGGAGGCGGGCAATACCCCCACTTTGTGGGGGGGCCGGTTCAAGCTCTACCAAATTTCCAAACGACTCTTCGCCACCACCCACACCCAGCTTCCCGCCCTATGACGTTCGGACACTTCACTTCGTGGCATGCGGACGACCGTGGCTACTATTCAGGGCCCCGCGGCCGACGACGACGGCGTGCGCGCGCGAAGAAAAAACGAATGTGTCCCGCATGGTATTATTTGACAGGGATGATGGCCCTGGCAGGTGCGCAACCGTTGTTGCAGAAGTTCGAAAAAGTTGCTCGCAAAAGCCCGTTTGACAGAAATGTTTAAAAAGTGTTGGGTTTCCTACGAATCCGCAAGAGCGCGCGGGATGAAATTTTGACATTTTTTTTTGAAAAACCATTGGTTTTTTGATGTTTTTATGTTAAAATCGCTACGAAACTAAGGTTTTGGAAGGATTTCGTCTTGCGCGCGCGAATGTCCACTTTACCTTATTTTTTGCAAGGGATTCTTGAAGTTTGGTTATGTTAGAACAAGAAATGTCCACTTTAGCTTATTTTTTGCAAGGGAAAACCGATCGTAACAACACAACCGGATCTGGATGACATCGTTTTACCTGAGACTTCCTCACGAAAATGATGAAAATGAGGCTGCGGCCTAGGCGCGGCGGGGGGGCCATGCACCAGGGGTCCCAACAATAATTATTCTTTAGAAGTAATAATGTTCAACAACAACAACAACAACAACAACAACAACAACTACTACTACTACTACTACTACTACGACTACGACTACGACTACTACCACTACGACGACGACTACTACTACTACTACTACTACCACTACTACTACTGCTCCTCCTCCTCCTCCTCCTACTACGACTACTACTAGTAGTAGCAGTAGTACTACGACGACGACTACTACTACTACTACTACTACTACTACGATTACTACTACTACTACTAGTACTACTGCTACTACTACTACTACGACTTCAACTACTACGACTACTTCTAGTACTACTTCTACTACGGTGGTCACGCCTCACCATCGTGTCTCCTCAGAAGGAATGGGCAAGGTCAGGGTCGGGGTTCGGGTTCGGATTCGGGGGTACAGTATAACTCGAATGCAATGGGAATACCATGCGACCCGAATACAATGGGAATACACTAGAATTCGAATACAATGGGAATACACTAGAATTTGAATACAATGGGAGTGCACTCGAATTCGAATACACTCGGAGTACACAAAGAATTTGTTGCGCAATAAGATAACAATATAATCCGAATGCAATAAGGATACAATAGACTTCAACCAAACTGGTAACACTATATACTTCGAGTGCCACAGGAAT